GTTCACAACCACTCCTTCCCTCCATCTACTTGGCGTATACTCGTTTTTCCACACCCAATTGTACAGCAGTACCATCAGCTGGATCATCCCCTTCCCCCCAAACTTCATGAACTCGTTGACTATCCCATCCGCTCCTGCTGCTTTGTGGCACTTCAGCTTGTTCACACACGCCTCAACCTCGTCCTCAGTGAACTCCTTTTCTATTTCTACGTTCCCAACGTCTGCTTTCGATGTCTCTTCTTCTTTTTGAGCCCATGCGTCCACCTCCTTCTTACACACTTGGTCAAAAGCTTCATTCTCCGAGGGCACTCCAAGTCTCTTGTAGTGTCCTGCTAGAACTTCCCTTTTTCCCTTCCCACTGCTGACTAATCCACCGTTCACACCTCGCAAAGTTGCGACCCCTGTATGCCCCCCTTGCGCGGTCTTTTTTACCATTCCACTAATCCCTTCCCACATCTGCTTGACGTTCCCCTCCAGGCCTCCGTTGGCCTTCTGCACTACTTCGTCCCAAATGCACGTTTTCTTCTTTTTCACTAGCCCCTTCACCTGTTTTCTCTTGGCCCTGTACTTTTCCCAACTCTCCTCAGACGCCTCACTCAGGTACTGCTTGAAGACTTCTCTACGTTCCCCTATTTCTTCTTTCAGCTCGTCATCCCACCACTTAACCGATACCCCACATCGTACCACCTTCCTTCCCACTACTCTCTCTGCCGTTGCGTTCACGATGGACTCCCACCCTTCAATCACCCTGTCCCCTGCTGCCTGTACGTCTACCTGTCCGTCTTCGACGCTTCTCAGCAGTTTCCTGAAGGGTTCTACACTACCAGCCAGTCCCTTCTGGAATTTATCTCGTGTCCCCTCGTCTCCCAAACGCTCTACTTTTCAACGGAACACTTTCCTCCGTTTCTAGGACCGTTTTAAACGGACCGACTTTTTTGTCAAAATTTTCGACAGTTGTCTTTCAAAAACTTGGAGCCTGTGTGCAGTCATTTTAAACGTGTGACGTAGACTTGTGCAACTTGTGTCAAAAAAAATGACGCCGTCCGTGAGTTGTAGCGCTCACTTCGAGACAACACAGACGACACAACACAAACCGCGGAAAACACGACATCATGGACACCGACATGGATATCACGACCACCCAGCGTGGCCGGCAGACCAAACCCCCGGCGAAATTCCAGCAGACGGGCTCTCTCGGTGCCGCCGTAGGCGGTGGAGGCTTGCTCTCCAGCAAGATAGTGCTGCTGCCTGGCATCTCGGGGAACACTCATGTTACCACGGGAGGCGCTGCCGCCACCAACACTC